AGGTGTAGACTACCTGGTTGGGGACCGCGAGATCATAGCAAACGATGGTTAGAGACCCTGAATGACATGGCTGAAAATCGTTTGCAATGGCGCAGGTGCATCCACTCTTTGTGTTCTCCCAAATTCTAATCTCCTAAATCTTCCTTGTCTTTTTTTTCTCTTTCCGAATATATTTCACTGTATTATACTCTTAAAATAACATCTTCAAACCCTAATCTTCCCGATTACTGATTATACTTGTATTACTTCTACCACTACGGGATTTGAATCGACAACTGCATCTGTGTGCTAATGTGCTTGTTAAGTTTGTTTTACATTGTTCCTGCTCATTCCCTTTCTACTCTTCTGTATATTGTTTTATACTACTCATTTACATTCAGTAAGCAGTCGTATTCCTAACAATTTTCAAACTTACATTGTAACGCGAGTTGTTCTGTAATATTCCGAATTGTTCACATATACTTATAACGTTTATTGTACTTATCATTGTATTTATCATTATAATTACTGTATCTTAATCACTGTGGCCGTTATCCACAGTTTTGTGCATTTGTTTAAACGCAACAGTTTTGATATTGCTTTGCCCTCGGTTCGAGTTTCGATTGTTCATAAACTGTTATCCAATTTAGACACAGCTATCGGCTGTCTTTGTACTATCGAAGCCTTTGTTATTTTCATTCTTGAAGGACGCGTTTAAACGCCTAGACACCTCAAAAGTTGAAAACTGTTGATTCTATCGAAGCGTCCAAGTAACCCCGATTGAGATACGCGCAAAATCGAAGTTCCAAAACAACGATTTGTCTACAAAAGCGTAAGGTTGTTGGGGCTTTCCGATACGTTGATCGAGAACCCAGTGGGCTTGTGGAACGTCAACTCCAATTAACAACCCTACTCTGTCGCATGTAATAGTAGGTAGCCGTACACCTTTCAAATGTTTCCATCTTTTCTGGAAGTCGGTCGGTGGCATTTCTGCTTTTTTAACAGGTAGGTTATAGATAGTGTATGCACCTTCTATCCTTAGCTTTGTAGCTCCCACTTGCTAACTATCCGTAAGTGTTCGTGGCGATTGACACTCTCATTTCTAAAAATTGCAACAAATCATTATCCCTTCAGTTTCTAAGGTGAATTCACCTATTTCTTTAAATCTTGCTCTTGATAATGTTAAACTTAACCCCAAAGACAGTTGTTCTGTAGGAGACAACTATGTAGAGGCTAGATACAGCATAGAAGACGGAGTAGTTTCTAGGGAAAAGGAAGTAGAAAAGATTGAGCTGGAGATTAGAGAACTTCAACTCCGTGTTGTAACGGGTGTGACTGCAGGGTTTGATACGCAGCGTTACTATCGATCGCTCCTGTGACAGTGACACGTAATACACGTAAGGACGACCTAGTGCCCTGATTGGCCCTGCTTCGCTGTCTGTCCCAGCCAGTTGAGTCAAGAACACAAGCCACAGCCTCGGAGTTATGAATCATTATATTTCAAACATACTTTGTTTATATACCAATCAAGCATACCACATCGTACCATAAAATAGAGAACAACATTTACAAAATATTGAACAAGTGAAGTAAACATCGACCAATAAGAAATGTACATTTAAGGTCCAAGGCCACCGTAGACTTAACACAATAATTATTGGTATATTTTCCCGACTATCCTAACACCTCCCCTTTTTTCGAATGATCCGGAGTTCATATCTGCATTTTAAAATTTTCTGGGTTCATCCTCCCCCACGAAATAATGTTGGGTCCTCATATCCCCAAGTTAAAATTAATTTGACTTTATTTAACACATGATGGTCACATGGAACAGAGAAGTCACTAAAAGTGATTAAGTAGTGTGGACCAACGTCGCTTGATATGAGGTCATCAACCTTTGATTCTTCTGGAACATTACCATAGAATTCCTTGAAAATCTCATTTGTGGATAGTCGATCACTGGGATAATTAACATCTATCAAAATTGTATTCAACTTCTGACCATCATTTGTGGCATCTAACACATTTTCTAGTACAAGAGAATCCAGATAATAAGATTCATCAGAGTCTCCTGTTGTTGACTGATGAGGACCGTTCGGAGCAGCTAGACTCAGTATACTGCACGATTTGTTTCCTGTTTCCTTGTGAGAGGGCACTGTAATTAATTTATGAGCATTTAATGAGAGATCTTCTTCCTGTGAGCTGGGTACATCACTGTCTGTACACGTTTCAGGAACAGTGCGTGCGCACGCGACTGCTAAATCTCCCATTTTTCGGAGATGTGAAAGAGATTGACGAATTAATTTCTCACTTACATACTGAACTCGAGAATGACTGCAGGACATATGAAGATGAAAACAAAAGCCTCTATGAATCCCTTATGATCAGTAATGCATACGAGGCAGTCGCTCATAATCCGTCCAGCGATGCGGAGATGTCCAGTTCAGAATCATGCCCTGTTGTGGGTTCAAATCGCACGTTTCAGGAACAGTGGGATTTGAACCCACAACAGGGCATGATTCTGAACTGGACATCTCCGCATCGCTGGACGGATTATGAGCGACTGCCTCGTATGCATTACTGATCATAAGGGATTCATAGAGGCTTTTGTTTTCATCTTCATTTGTCCTGCAGTCATTCTCGAGTTCAGTATGTAAGTGAGAAATTAATTCGTCAATCTCTTTCACATCTCCGAAAAATGGGAGATTTAGCAGTCGCGTGCGCACGCACTGTTCCTGAAACGTGTACAGACAGTGATGTACCCAGCTCACAGGAAGAAGATCTCTCATTAAATGCTCATAAATTAATTACAGTGCCCTCTCACAAGGAAACAGGAAACAAATCGTGCAGTATACTGAGTCTAGCTGCTCCGAACGGTCCTCATCAGTCAACAACAGGAGACTCTGATGAATCTTATTATCTGGATTCTCTTGTACTAGAAAATGTGTTAGATGCCACAAATGATGGTCAGAAGTTGAATACAATTTTGATAGATGTTAATTATCCCAGTGATCGACTATCCACAAATGAGATTTTCAAGGAATTCTATGGTAATGTTCCAGAAGAATCAAAGGTTGATGACCTCATATCAAGCGACGTTGGTCCACACTACTTAATCACTTTTAGTGACTTCTCTGTTCCATGTGACCATCATGTGTTAAATAAAGTCAAATTAATTTTAACTTGGGGATATGAGGACCCAACATTATTTCGTGGGGGAGGATGAACCCAGAAAATTTTAAAATGCAGATATGAACTCCGGATCATTCGAAAAAAGGGGAGGTGTTAGGATAGTCGGGAAAATATACCAATAATTATTGTGTTAAGTCTACGGTGGCCTTGGACCTTAAATGTACATTTCTTATTGGTCGATGTTTACTTCACTTGTTAAATATTTTGTAAATGTTGTTCTCTATTTTATGGTACGATGTGGTATGCTTGATTGGTATATAAACAAAGTATGTTTGAAATATAATGATTCATAACTCCGAGGCTGTGGCTTGTGTTCTTGACTCAACTGGCTGGGACAGACAGCGAAGCAGGGCCAATCAGGGCACTAGGTCGTCCTTACGTGTATTACGTGTCACTGTCACAGGAGCGATCGATAGTAACGCTGCGTATCAAACCCTGCAGTCACACCCGTTACAACACGGAGTTGAAGTTCTCTAATCTCCAGCTCAATCTTTTCTACTTCCTTTTCCCTAGAAACTACTCCGTCTTCTATGCTGTATCTAGCCTCTACATAGTTGTCTCCTACAGAACAACTGTCTTTGGGGTTAAGTTTAACATTATCAAGAGCAAGATTTAAAGAAATAGGTGAATTCACCTTAGAAACTGAAGGGATAATGATTTGTTGCAATTTTTAGAAATGAGAGTGTCAATCGCCACGAACACTTACGGACAGTTAGCAAGTGGGAGCTACAAAGCTAAGGATAGAAGGTGCATACACTATCTATAACCTACCTGTTAAAAAAGCAGAAATGCCACCGACCGACTTCCAGAAAAGATGGAAACATTTGAAAGGTGTACGGCTACCTACTATTACATGCGACAGAGTAGGGTTGTTAATTGGAGTTGACGTTCCACAAGCCCACTGGGTTCTCGATCAACGTATCGGAAAGCCCCAACAACCTTACGCTTTTGTAGACAAATCGTTGTTTTGGAACTTCGATTTTGCGCGTATCTCAATCGGGGTTACTTGGACGCTTCGATAGAATCAACAGTTCTCAACTTTTGAGGTGTCTAGGCGTTTAAACGCGTCCTTCAAGAATGAAAATAACAAAGGCTTCGATAGTACAAAGACAGCCGATAGCTGTGTCTAAATTGGATAACAGTTTATGAGCAATCGAAACTCGAATCGAGGGCAAAGCAATATCAAAACTGTTGCGTTTAAACAAATGCACAAAACTGTGGATAACGGCCACAGTGATTAAGATACAGTAATTATAATGATAAATACAATGATAAGTACAATAAACGTTATAAGTATATGTGAACAATTCGGAATATTACAGAACAACTCGCGTTACAATGTAAGTTTGAAAATTGTTAGGAATACGACTGCTTACTGAATGTAAATGAGTAGTATAAAACAATATACAGAAGAGTAGAAAGGGAATGAGCAGGAACAATGTAAAACAAACTTAACAAGCACATTAGCACACAGATGCAGTTGTCGATTCAAATCCCGTAGTGGTAGAAGTAATACAAGTATAATCAGTAATCGGGAAGATTAGGGTTTGAAGATGTTATTTTAAGAGTATAATACAGTGAAATATATTCGGAAAGAGAAAAAAAAGACAAGGAAGATTTAGGAGATTAGAATTTGGGAGAACACAAAGAGTGGATGCACCTGCGCCATTGCAAACGATTTTCAGCCATGTCATTCAGGGTCTCTAACCATCGTTTGCTATGATCTCGCGGTCCCCAACCAGGTAGTCTACACCTACCAACATGACTCAGTCCACTTGTCAGTGACTTCATGGTTTTGTGCCATGTTTTGGTCTGGCCGCCCCTAGTTTTCTTCCAACCTACTCCTATACCACTGAACATCGCACATCGAGGCAGTCGGGAATACGTAACACGTGGATGTACACTATGTAGGAGTCTTACAATAGGACGAAACGGTCATTCAGTGCTTCCAGGTTTCCAACAGTGGTCTAAACATCAATGGGTTGATGATTTCAATCAATAAAAAAAACAATTTGATCTCTTCTAATTTGTCAATAACACCATGCCAACTTTAAATTGGTATGGATTAATGTGCGTACGTACAAAGTTCTACGTTGTCACTAACTGACTGACATCGACGATCCTGTTCGTGGGATTGGAACCCAGAGCCTTTAGTTTTACACGTGAACTCTTAACCATTAAGCCAGCATTCAATTGTGTTAATGTTTAATATCAATTCGTTTTCAATTTCTTTTCTTGTGAACTCATCATTTATCACTTCTTCTTTCTTTTTCTTTCTTTTTTTTCTTCTTCAATAAGATATTATGAAAAAGAAACGATCTGTTGCTACGGAATTAGTTCAACGTGCTTCATCGATATTACCAGCATTTACTGATATATTTGATGAAGAAACATTTTATATATTTTTTATTTGTCTTGTTATTTTCTCATTTATTATAGCATTTAGTATAGCAAAATATTTTGATATAACAATTAATGATGCAGATCATTTAAAATTAACTAAACGACAAAAATTCAAACGACACTATTCAATGAATGAACAAAAATAGAAAAAGAAAAGAAAAACAACAACAACAACAACAAAGAAGCTTATTGATTTGTTTTCTTTAAACTTTATCATTATTGTTGTTGTTGTTGTTTTTCTTTTTGTTTATTTTATCGTGATTACTTTAGAAAGAAAAAAACAAACAAAAACAAATATCTCCCAACACCAACCCCAACCCTACTCCACCCCCGTTCGCAACTAAATAGATCATGATAGTTCAAGTCAATGATGTACTTATCTTGCATCAAAATATACAAGGTATTATGTTTGTTTGTTTGTTTGTTTGTTTCCATGGATTGTATTGTGTATTTATTCTAATCAATTGAAAAAGTCTTTTATTTTTTATTGTTGAATGATATTCCTTTCATATTTGTGCAATATCTCCATGTATTATGGTCTAGTCAATGTGATGAATTCATTTCTTTTATTGTTATGGGCAATGAATTTATATTTTTTGCTTCAAATTTACGGTGATCTTATAGTAGTATTAGATTGATCTGATCATGTTGTTATGCAAGAATTGAACATTCGTTCATTTACATAAATAAGAAATGAGTATGATTGTTTTGTTTTGTTTTAATATGAAAAGAAATACATATATGATCCTTATGCTCTAATTACCAATCACGTATATATATATATATATATATATATATATATATATATTGCTTTATCATGTGTATCCTGTATATAAAGATATTAGTTTAGCAGAAGAAAATGTTTATCGTTTTAGTTGATGGTCTTATCTTCTAGCATCGGTTTCATTAAGAGGGAAGGGGGCACCAGATATATATATATATATATATATATATGCGCCACACAATAATAATGAGAATAGGAAGAGATAAAGAATGTAAGGTGTGTATAAAAAGAAAAAAAAGAGGACAATAACGAACACAAATCAGTGTAAGAGTAGTAATAATAATAGTGGAGGAAACGGAAAGAATCCTTTCAGCTAAGGAAGAAGCAACCACTTTTTATGAAGAAAGTAAATGAAGGTTACAGCAGGATCGCCAGTGGTTTCTATTCTGAGCCATATCTGATAACGTCTCTAGCCACTGTGTTATACCATCTCTGAGACTCCAACCAAGGAGTCGTGAATGACCAATAGATGCCAGCTTTCTTTCATACCACGACATTGTTTCATACACTGACTACTTCTCCGCTTTTTCCAACCAATCCCAGAGTCAGCGAATAATGCATGACGAGGAATTCTCTGGGACGATATTTGTCGAACATGTCCAAGTCACCAAAGTCGATGTTTCAAGATAGTGACATCAATTGAATTATCGTCTGTGTGCCCAAACACATGATGCTCAACCTCTGCATTACTAACATGATGTTGCCACTGGATATCAGCAATCGTTCAGAGACAACGATGATCAAATACAGAGAGTTGTCTAACATCCTTAACTTGAAGAGGCCAGGTTTCATAGGTATAGAGTAAAACTACTCTCACCAACTCTAATCTTATTGCTTAGTGTTCTTGAACACTATTTCACTCGGTAAGTCCCCAAAAAAATGAACTGTGGAATAGCAGTGTAATTATATTCCAAATAACAAGGTTGGGTGGAATTAGAATCCACAATAATCTATATCCCGCTAACATCATTATGGACTTCAATTATAAGAATGTAAATATAATTCAAATAGATATCATCCTGGCTCATTTAATTAAAGGGCTTGTATTGTATAGATATATGGAATACTGTCTTATGTTGAGTGAAAAGTATTGATGTAGTATCAGTTGATATCTATTTCAGATGGCGATGATCGTAAAGGTTTTTATTAATAAAAGGGCATTGGAAGGAAGAATAACATTTGATAGGGTATGAAATATATTCAATTTACCCTCTATCCCTTTATTTATATGACCTATCAAAAATGTACCTTTTTAAACTCTTAACAAAGAGTCTACCTGTTGGGGATGTTACATCCCCAAAAATCACTTGGTAAATACCTTATTTTTATAATTTTATTTTGAATTTCCTTGTTTTTGCGCCGAAAGCGCTCTTTTCACCTTTATGTCGTATTTCCCACTTGGGAGAATCTTAAACGCTATTGGTTCGTTGTATCTTTTAGTATGCTATTTTGTAACGCTTCCCAAGGACAATTTTATGCTGTATATATACGTTTGATTTGTACCTGTTGTGATCGCTCATGCTTCGGGCTTTTTGCAGAATATATTTCCCCGTTTCGAACTTGAACTTTTCTCTCTAGTTAGCGGCGCTGAGACGCATCAGAATAGCTAGCTAGCTTATTTGATCTTTGGTCACAAGTCTTTGTTCCGTTCGCAAACTAGGTGAACACTCATAATCGCTTCAAACATAGCAATACCCTTAACAAATATTTTAATTTCTTGAGTTCGGTAACAATTTGTTATCTTTATTACTATAATCATGTTATTTCGTATATCTATTTTGAACAGATAGAGGATAATTTATTTAGTGGGATGTTTCGAAAGTGCCTGATGAATTTTACGTAATGAAAGTAATCTATGATGTTATTGAATAAGGATTAGAACAATTCAGCGAAGGAAATTCTATTTTCGACAATACTTTATTATTATACCTATTATTATCTTCATTCAATATCATATATTTTTGGTACCATATAGAATACTCAACACAATGTAGTCCAGCAAGTTTCCGTTCCTTACTTCTTGATCAATCCTTACAATCAATATTAAGTGGTCGCCAGTTAGAAGTTAGCAGTCCAGGAATTGACATCTGAATAATGTATATTCTTTTCATTATAAGTCGATTCACAATCACTCACATAGCTTGTATTCACTGTCTTAGGAACTGATACTACTTCTCTAGTGTAAACGCAATGATCCAGGTTGAAAACAATCAAATCATGGAAGATAAATCGCTATTGTTTTTCATGTTAGAAGCATTAATCATTCCATTGAGATATTGGGGAAAAACTTAAGTAAGTGAGTTTAAGATAATGTTCATTGAGAGCGCAACAGTAAATTAACCGCAAAGATTAGTTATGGTTACATGAACATGGAACCGGAACTAGAGCTAAGTGAGGAAGTAAAACACAAAAATAGGTAACTTGTTGAAATATCTAGATGGCAGGAACAAGTAGCCCAGATATTCATGAATGAATTTGAAATTTACATAGGTTAATTTGATCGAATTACTGAGGTTTAATTTTCGTCCTCTGTCCATTGTTTTCAGAATAACCAGAATCGTGGCTATACATTTCATATGACAGTATTGTTTCATTCAATCGTCTTCTCAATTAGATGTAAATAGGTGATACCTGTTCTCATTGCCTTCTCGTGGCGGGGGTGTGGTTTACGAAATTGAGAGGATAAAAAGCGAATGTCCAGCACTTTAACCGGGTTAATGAAGATGCAGAATCCACCTAGGGGAGTTGGAAAACCCTGATTCCAAACCAATGGTGCACATAGGCTCTAAGATCCTGAAGGAACAAATGGCGTATGATTACCGGCTACTATGATCAATTAGGTCAAAGGCTCCTGTTGTAACCCTCTAAAGAAACCACCTGCTTCGGTCTGGTTATCCAGGCAGTATTCCAGCCCTCACACAGATCGAATGATTTATGTTGCTCATATCTGTTTGGTGCCTCCTTGTACCATTGTTTGTGTGTTTAAATAAATAAGGTGATACCTGTTACTGAAAGGTCATGAAATAGGACTAAATAACTATCCAATTCTCTCTTAGGACATACATCTCTACCTGTGGATTATTGAACTTCTTATGGTTATAGGTTTCATTTACTAATACTAACTCCGTAAATCTAATTTCTAACCTTAACCATCAACTGTATATCATAATTGTAATTCCTCACACACTGGTTTATAACTCTAATTTAGTCCTAGTTATTAGGTGGACACTCTCAAATTCCGTCTAGCGTCGCTAGAAGGTCGTCCATAAATTATAGTCTCACCGCTTCATATCACAATTACAACTTCCTAGAAAATAATTTCGAAAAACTAATTTCTTTATTAGAACAGAAATTTAGAAGAAAAAAACAGTCCAGAGAATCTCTTATTTATTTATTTATTTATTTATTTGAACACATAAATATTGGTACAAGAGAGCGCCAATATATATGCGCCACACAAAACAATGAGAATTCGAAGAGAAGTAGAAAGAAAAAAAAACTAAGAAACGCAAAAGAAAAAGAGAGTAATGACGAAGAGGTACAATCAGAAGAAATCTTTCAGGTAAGGGAGACAACCACTTTTCATGAAGAAAGTAAAAGAAGGTTACAGCAGGATCGCCATTGGCTTCTATTCTGAGCCATATCTGATAACGTCTCTAGCCACTGTGTAGCACCATCTCTCGGACCCCAGCCAGGGAGTCGTGAATGACCAACACAAGCCAGTCCTTTGCAGCTTTCTTTCATGCCACGACACCATGTCATGCACTGACCACCTCTCCGCTTCTTCCAACCAGTCCCAGAGTCGGCAAATAATGCACGACGTGGAATTCTCTGGGACGACATTCGGAGAACATGTCCAAGCCACCGAAGTCGGTGTTTCAAGATGGTGACACCAATTGAGTTATCATCTCTGTGCCCGAACACACGATGCCGAACCTCTGCATTACTGACTTGGTGTTGCCACTGAATGTCAGCAATCCTTCGGAGACAGCGATGATCGAACACAGAGAGTCGTCTAACGTCCTCAACTCGGAGAGGCCAGGTTTCACAAGCATAGAGCAAAACTGCTCTCACCGACGCGTTGTAGATCCGGCCTTTTACAGCCAGACTAACATCACGAAGGCGCCAAAGGTGGCCCAGATTGGCATAAGCCGCTCTGGCTTTCACTATTCGTGCATTGATCTCATCACTCACACCCCCACCAGCACTTATGCAGCTACCCAGATACACGAACTTCTCAACTACGTCTATCTGCTCACCGTCCAGGGTGAGTACAGGATTAGAATCCTGCCAGTCTTGTAGAAGTACTTTGCACTTCGAAGGTGCAAAGCACATACCATACCTACGGACATTGATTGCCAA